TTGGGATCTTCATATCGACAGTGTCTGCAAGAAACTGAATACTGCGTTTAATGCAATAAAGCAAATGAAAAGTTGTATCGAAAAAGAGAGTCTATTAAGTATTTATTTTGCGATGGCATTCTCACATATTTCTCTTAACATAATGGCATGGGGATGTGGAAGAGAATTTAACAGAGTTTTTATGGGGCAGAAACGTATTTTAAGACTCATTTTCGACATGGACTATCGAGAAAGCTGCAAAGCTGTATTTATAAGAGAAGAATTGCTAACTGTCCCATCCATATACAGTATGATGCGAATGTATGGAATAAATTCATTTCAAAACAAGACGACTTCCGAAAAAAATCCAAAGACTAGAGTTCAGAACTTTTTTTATTGTGTATTTTTCCAACTAGACAACCCTTCGATGGTCAATTCTCAGTAGCAGACCTCTGCAAGATTCAGTTAACCGAATGATAATCCATTTTAATTGCAATATTCTTATGCAAAATTTTGACTGTTGGATAGACGATCAGTAGACCTTTCAAACGAGGTGTCACATGACACCTACTTGTATTTGAAAAAATCGTCCATTACGTCATTACTTCTACACCAGTGACGTAACATCTCTCATATGAATGTCATGAGAAGAGGCGTCAAAAATTAAAACTCACGTGTTTTTGAAATTTCTTCAAATGTCGCCCATTTCTGAAATAATGAATTTATTCCATACATTTGCATCATACTGTATATTCTAAAATGTGTGAAATTCGTTAGGAGCAACTTGGAGTCTTTCGAAACTAATGCATCTTCACACACCTATCACACTCGACATGGTGGGGACTTGAAGATACCAAAACATAAGACAATGAAATTCAAAACTCTCCTCTATTATAATGCATTATCTCTTTACAATAAATTGCCAACAGAGATCAAGAATTCTGGATGTGATAAAATATTTTATGATAAAACAAAATGCTTGTTAATTGAGAAGTGTTATATTTTTAGATGATCCAGTGTGATTCAATATTTTTAAATGGTATGTTGTCCGTGTGTAATTATGTTTTTCAATTCGTTCATATTTTCATGTTTTCACAATTTTTACTATAATATGACTTACCACATGTGCATTTTGTACCAAAGTGGCTAATTTTGAGGCAAATCATCTGATTTTTCCTAACTACACGTATATTGAAGTAGTATTCATAATTTTATTTAATAGAAACGAGGAGAAAAAATCCCCAAAAAAATCTGGAATAATGAATGTACTACCTCCTCCATTAGATATCGTGGAATATGGGGCAAATGCGCTTTCAACCTACTTTAGGGCTTCTAGTGACAACGAAAAAATCTGATTCGATATCAAATTTTGATGTACGACCAGCTCTGATACAAAATTCCCTTGGAATATCAGCTTATGTCCATGGATTTTTCAGTCTAAATATATTTAAAGAAAAAAGATCGCGAATGTATTTCAAGATACTTGAAAATGTACTACATGACTTTATGCACAAAACTAACGTAATTCAATAGTCGATATTTACTGAGCAGCACTGTACGTATACAGGTGGATTCAAATCACCAATTGATATTACTTGATACCCACATAATATATATATTGATTTGGGAATTTCTGTCAGCAACTGACCAGACTTAACTTCGCCATCAGATATACAGGGTATACTGGTATACAGAATACATAATAATATATAATATATTTATTTTTGACATTAATAAAACATGAGGTTATGAATTAATGCAGAAGGAACATATGCAATAATGAAATATTATGTCAATTCTCTTATTAGGTATACGGTATTCGAATACATAGGAAAATATCTCATGGAGGAATTTTTTCCATAACTGCACTTATTATGTTGCAGGTAGAGTAAGTAGTTCAGATCATAGCAATTCCAAATAATGTTCACATAGAAAACAATACAGAGAAGTTCTGTTAAAGTTCTCACACTTTACTTCCGACACTTCTAATTTGAAATTTCACTTCTTGGTTTACGAACATAATAAATAATATGATGAAACTTTAATGCAGCAGTAGATGATGCGATATATAGAGTAGTTCTTTACAGGGTACTTCAAATTTAGTGCAAATATTTCAGAATAAATATAGAGTAATCTGAACAGATGTCTTGAATGGAGTATTTATCGATGTGTCTTTTCTTCATATTGTACTTATCGAAACTAGCTGAACATATCCTTACTGAAGACGGACAACATATATGGCAGAGTGGAATAATATTAAAATCATTGGAAAAGAAGATAACAACCAGAAGAGAAAAATCAAGGAATCTGCTTGCATTCTTCTGAACAAACAATAGCATTGCTTCTTGTTCAGTTGATATAGACAGAACATGGTATTCACTACTAAAATCTGAACATGAAAATGGTAAATTCAAGATTCATCAATGAAAACATCCTGTAACTCATTTGATTACCACCGTCACCAATGGGGGAGACCACTGATTTTTTAAAACGACATTATCGCGAACTCTATAATGAAAAATTACCAGCGAATTAATTTTGAATTTTGTCATTCATGCTAAGACGGTGAAAAAAATAAATTAGAATATGTCCATTTCAAAACACACAATTCCTGTGCTATTTGAGATTTTGTTAATTCATTGGTGTGACTGGTGCGACGTATTAGTCCCAACAGGCCTATTGTCTTTGAACTGACCAATCACACTGCAACACTGAAGAATTACGAGGTATCAGAGAGAGATAGCTACAGCTCGGGACTAATACGTCACGGCTCCACCATCATATGTGGCTGTTTAAAATATCGAATGAAATATGCTGATTTCAGAACGATATAGATTCGATATCCTTCAACTTGAACCAGAGATTCACGGCTTGACTTGATATTCAAGCTACTTGACTTGACTTGACTTGAAATCAAGTCAAGTTCAAGTCAAGCGAAAGTTTTTTAATGTCAAGTCAAGTCAAGTAATTATTTATTAAGTACTTGAAAAATCAAGTAGTTCTATCAAGCTACTTGATTTTCAGCAGTTTTATTGTGTATCTATACAGCGTGACTCACGGTCGATGTTATAGGTTAGACGTTTATGGAGAACGCGACGCGGGAATTTTCTGAAAATTTCGCATACACAAGAAATTCCTGAAGTTGAAAAATCTCGATTTTTCGTACTCTATATCTCCATAATCTTTTCCGCTATACCCCGAGTGTGATGTATCGATGAAATCAACTCTTCAAGGAGAATCTGAAAATGCAATAAAATACAGGGTGTTCAATTCGAAATAACAAAGTGGTTCCTACTTTTCTATAGAAGCGGCAACGTCGTGATTTTGAAAATATATTAGATCGATAGTACCGGTGATGAAATGTGAGATGCGAAATTTTCAGAAAAATCCTGCGTTGCGTTCCTATCATAAACGTGAACGTCTAACCTACCATCGACCGTGAGCTCGGATCTCGGGGAACCCCCGTATTTTGTCTAAGCGTGAGCGAGCTTGCAGAAATATACGCCGTGCGACTCGTGCGTTTCAAGATCAAGTATTATCAAGTAGCTTGATTTCAAGTCAAGTAATAAATATCTCAAATTCAAGTCAAGTCAAGTACGTAATTTGCCACGAGCTTGATTTTCAAGTCAAGCCAAGTAGTTTGTTAAAATATCAAGCTACTTGACTTGATGAATCTCTGACTTGAACTCATAATATTGATTGTACATCAAACGTGAATCTTGATTCGTCGATTGAAAGAGGTTTGCACGGATTTCTTCTCTCAGTGGTCTTCCCCATTGTCAATGAAAACTTAAAAGCTTCAGGACATATACGACTTTGCTATTGAAATAATCTTTTCTTATGCTGAAAACGGGAGCAGAATCGGTCCCGAAACGTCCAAAGATAAGTGAAAGTTTGATATTTTTTCTATATACCTTTATTTCTCCTCTCCAAACTTTTTTCAATACAAATTGTCACTGACAAGCTAGTGAATTTTTCTTTCAGGCTCTCTGATTGGAAAATTCTTCAAACACAGTGACATTTGGGGGCAAATCATCTGATTTGTCCTCACTACACTGATGTAATATTCATATTTTTATTTCATAGAAACGAGGAGAGAAAATCCCAAAAAAATTTGGAATAATGAATTTATCACCTCCTCGATTAACCTACAGGCAGTATTTAACTATTTTTTATATCAAGCTAAGCATATTTTTACTTCAGAACTATATTTTCCGACGTTTGTAGACAAAATTTTGTTTGCAACTCGAGCGCGAAATACTTTGGTCATCTCGACTATTTTTTTAACTTGGCTACGCCTCGTTAAAAAAATCAGACCTTGATCACCAAATTATCATTTCGCGCTCTAGATAGAAAAATAAGTATACAAACTCAAACATTTTCATTCAGTTATTTATTTTTCGACACCAAGCGGAATTCATCCGTTAAAAAAAGCTCTTGTGTCTTTACTGTTAAAAAATAGTTATTTTCGCATGTAGAGCGCGAAATGCTACTTTGGTGATCGAGATCTGATTTTTTTAACGAGGCGTAGCCGAGTTAAAAAAATAGTCGAGATGACCAAAGTATTTCGCGCTCGAGTTGCAAACAACATTTTTTCTACAAACGTCAAAAAATATAGTTTTAAAGTAAAAATATGCTAAGCTGGATATGAAAAATAGTGTTGATTTGGCTTAAAAGGCCTCCCCCTATCCTCCCTAGGTACGCACGATGTTCCATGAACATAATAGGAGTTTCATTTCGTGCGCTCCAAGAGAGTTATTGATGAACATTCCGAAATATATGATTTCGTAGATATTCGCTCGATTGACGAACTCAAAGTTGAAATATAAATATCTCATATATTTTACATAACAATGCGCGAAGTAGGTACTTCGCGCACTGTTTTACTTCGCGCATTGTTTTGTGCAAGGTATCATGGTAACGTAGGAAGCTGAAAAAAAGTGTCATTTCGCAATTTGTTATCAATGCGCGAACCTTGTCATTTTTTCACGTTAGTAGAAAAATAAAATTGTATAACTTACTGCTTCCAACTGAGTAGCCTGATTGATGTTGGTCTCAAAGTTCCACTGAGCAGCCACATTATTGGTACACTGCTGAGAAGCCTGCACATCCAAAGCTTGCAGCAACCCACCAATATCACCCTCTACCCCATTCCTCCTCACAAAATCATCCTCCAGTGGCTTCTGCCCCACGTAGGGAGGATTACCCGTCGGTCTAGGAGGGAAATTTTGAGGATCTCCCGCCCGTCTAGGAGGATACTCACCCCCAGATCTAGGGGGATATTCACCCCCAGATCTAGGAGGATATTCTCCTGGTCTCTGTGCGTAAATTTGGGGGTTGTTGTAGTCGTTCCTCGCTACATTGACGCTGTAGGGTACGTTGTTAGGGTTGGGGTTGTTTGGGGTTGGATAATTGGGGTTTGGGACGAAGGCTGGGGGTAAGTTGATTTGGGGTGTCACTTGGGTGAGGATCGCTAAGAGGACTACGATGACTGCGGGTTTCTTTGTTGCACTTATATCACACATTTTCAAGCTTTTTCGTGACTATAGTGTTCGAGCTTGTTTATGTTGGGAAGCTAATATACATACTGGCAAATGTGTGGTATCTTCAATGGTACACGTGAGAAAAAATGCATGGTAGGGGAATCGGAATACCTTGTCCTCAGCTATTGTCGTGGTGTTACATAATTGTTGGTGTCTAATTAGTGCTCTTCAAGTAGTGTATTGGTGTCTGAAAATGCCCTAGATGTTTGTTTTTTGATAAAGATGGCAATTGAGATGTCTTGATGAATTATTTAACTGTGATGTGGATGAAGGATATTTACTGTCTGTAGGTTAATCGAGGAGGTGGTACATTCATTTTACTTGGTTCTTTGGGATTTTCTCTCCTCGTTTCTATAAAATAAAAGTATTCGTATTATTTCAATATATTTGTAGAGGGACAAATCAGATGATTTGCCCCAAAATGTCACTGCGTTTAACAAATTTTTCTATCAGGGAGTCTAAAAGAAAAATCCAGTAGCTTGTCAGTGACAATTTGTTTGAAAAAATTTTTGAAGGAAAGAAATATAGATATATTGAAAAAATATCGAATTTGTACTTATCTTTGGACGTTTCGGGACCGATTCTGCTCCCGTTCTCAACATGTAAATGCAGTGACATTTTGGGGCAAATCATCTGATTTGTCCCTCTACAAATATATTGAAATAATACGAATACTTTTATTTTATAGAAACGAGGAGAGAAAATCCCAAAGAACCAAGTAAAATGAAGGATATTATTTAAATGTTTTTAGTTTTGTTCTGATTATAAACTATACTGTAATTTTATTTGAACGAGCGAATTCAAAATATATAATGATCGCTTGTATTCGTTTCATCGGCAGGATTGATTCAAAAATGATTCTCAATACTAAGGTGAAATTTGAAAAAGATCAAACATCCAAAATATGTCTGATAAACTGAAATTTATCGTTTCATACCTAGTAGACAGTAGGAAAACAAAGTATTCAACTGAAATTTAGTAAATTTCTCTAGATTTTTGGGATTTCCTCTTCTAGTTTCTGTGAATTCATTAAAAATACAATATAAATGTTAATCAAATGATTTGCCCCGAAATAGGAGCAAATTCGTTTCAAAAAACGTCTAGCAAACATAAGTGGAAATCAATATATTTTTCAATGTTATACATATAATCTTTTTCTTCGTCCATTTTTTAATAAATACTGTCTGTAGGTTTATCGAGGAGGTGGTATTTTATTCCAGATTTCTTTAGGATTTTTTCTCCTCGTTTCTATAAAATGAGACTATGAGTATTATTTCAATATACGGAAAATCCCAAAAAATCTGAGAAAATGAATTCTCAAACAATTTTGTTTATAATTCGATTATCAAAAGATAGTAATTTTCAAAAAATGTTTAGAGAACAAGACCGTTTCAGAATACTGTTCCCACATACGAGGTTCTGCATGTTAACGCTAATGCTCATAGATTTTTGCCTATTTGGTGTTGCCACACTCTCTAATTCCTTGACATCATGGGAACACGGCAGGAAAGTCGGAGATCTTTCACTCATCTACCTATATATTGATGATTTCACGGCAAATATTCTCAGGAAGTCTCATTCAATCACTGTGGTAATACCAGTAAAACAATTTCGTCAAGCTCAGTCAACATATCTTTTTGTCTTCAACCTCGTGATATGTCGAACAACTCTCTACCAGAACTGTCAAAAATCACTCACTAGTAGTTCTTTCTTATATTTCAAAAATTTAGATTTGATTTTCAGACTTGAATATAACGGGAGACCATGAAAACCGATCCGACACTGTAACTTAAACTTTTGAATCGTTCCAGATGAAATTTTGAAATTTGGAGGGTTTATATCACATTTTGCATTCACTGATTATGGTTATGCTTCACAACTTTTGATTCTCAAATGAGACATCCTGTATATCATCACATTTTTGGATTCAGGAGATCATTTCACCTACAAATGTCGGGTGAAAATTTTCTAAGCGTCAATTTTTCATTTGATTCTTGATATCGTATCTAGGTGGCTGTTACTGCCATACATTGTTCTTGTTTCAGTCCCTTTTCGAGGAAAAAATTCGTTGCTTTGCTTCTTCAGATGGAATGATGGTGGGCCAGGTAATTTTTTTGGAAGAATATTCTTCGAATAATCAATGGATACCACACTAGTCTCTATCCGAATGATAATCGAAACACAAAATGGGCAAAATCATAATAAAATGATCTCCTAAATCAAATAATGTGGAAATATATAGGGTGTACCATTTGAAAATCGAAAGTTGTGGTGATTTCTGCTGAAATTGGAAGTAGTTCGAAATGTATTTTTATCGATAGATGAATAGATCATGTTACTACACAATAGTGTTAATACATACATACGTCAATAAAGTGATAAAATGAAATAAATATAATGAGACATAAATACATACAACAATGAAACAATGACAAAGTAGTTTGAAGTTTAGTTTCGAGGTAAAAAAAATACTACATATTCATCAAAACTTTCTTCAATTAAAATATTTTTGGATCGATTCTTGGATTCCCATGAACTCATAGATCGACCTCTGAGTTCGTCTGGAAGAACATTGAAAATTCTCATGCCGAGATATTTGAATGAAGATTTGGTTTTTGAAATTCTCGGTTTCGGTGATCATATATTCATATTTCCTCTTGTATTATATCTATGTGTATCTTCATTTCTAGTTATTCCAGAACGAGTATCAGACATTTATTTCTTCATGTGAATGATCATGTGAAGATTCGTATACGAAGCATGAGGTACTCCGTGCTCTGTTGTTACAAAGTCAGATACACCGTCTTGCCATTTGACTCTAGAATTTATATCCGTGAGATAAGACATGAATTAGTTCAGCTGCTTGCCTCTTACCCCATAATGCTGGAGTTTTTTTATCAAGATATTGTGATTAACAGTGTCGAAGGCGCGAGAAAGATCGTCAAATTTTGCAGTATAGTGTGTTTGATTCTCAATCGGTGAATGCATACATTTCAAGTGATTTGGAAGTTACAAGACCACCCGGTATTGTTCAATTTTGTTGGAATTTATCCAAGGAACAATTTTTTTATTTTCAACTCGTTAATCTAAGTAAGTTTCACTATTTCATACCAGTTTTGAAAAACAATACAAATTCAACATGCGAGAGATCATTCAGTGATTCACTTTTGATTGAATAATGATTTTCGCTGAAAAATCTTGCTCATAATATGTGTAATAATCTATTTTTTCCTCCATACGAACTTGTCCCGATAATGAGAGCAAGTACATCAATTATTATGTATTCATGAAGATTCGAAACTCAAGGTCAAGGTGAATAATTTGTCCACTTACCTACCTATAATCAAGTTCTCATACCGATAGAATGATAAAATAATTATACTATTATTTTTATATAGTGCATAATACACTTTACAGTTTTTTATCACTGATGAATCAGAGTCAAAGTTGAAGTCCTGAAGTTATTAAGCGATAATCAGCCACAAGTTTTTAACATTGAGAATTATGATTTTTGTGGAGAATAATTCATATTTAATGCCTCACTAATTCTTTTACATTATTTGTTATTGGATAGAGTCTTCAAATTAGTAGTGCATCTTCGTCGTATATAAAAGCAGTTCAGAACAAAATAGTGATTTATGGGTATTGATATAGCATCAACATAAACGAGGAATAGGGCTGGCCCGAATTCTGAACCCTGAAGCACCCTTATATAAGAATCAATAAGCTCAAGAGAAAGAATCGTGAACATGCTGCCCAATTGGAATCTAATAATCATTGAAAAATATCAGTGGATCATTTCTAGCATTCTGATTAGGTTAATATCTGTATTTTTCTGACATAAAAGTTGTCCATTTCAATCCCAAAATTTGCTAGGGTTGGTTCTTTGGGTTGGGACGCATACCTGGAGATATAAATACATCTTATTATAGTTACATATTTTTGTTTTGATCAGGGAAGCCTTCAAGATTCACATACTTGCTCAATATTTATTTCATTCGTTATTCTCCAGATGGATAACTTGGTGTTTGAATAATCACGGCCAGCAGTACCTTTTTGTCTCACAAAACGATTGTTCACCTTCATTTGATTATTGAGCCAAACACAGTGGATTTTGGAGAGGAATAAATGATCGCTATTATTATTGTTAATGTGCTCACTTACCTAACATTTTCCATGTATTTCTCCTATACCTGGCACTGGCACAAATGAGTCACTCTGTGATTGTATTTATATTGAAACTACAATTGAAACATGCTTGAAAATTGAATAAACCTGATCTGTTAATGCAGGTAGAATATTCTCACCACACGGAATATTTGTTGCCTTGCATACATATGACATGGCCTTGGTGGTTATTTCACATATTCATTTTCGTTAATTTTTTCGGTTGCATGAGAAATAGCATCATGTTTCATTCGGATCAAAAGTGACGCCTCGTAAATGCAAAATTCGCTTGTTAAACTAACTGTCACTTTTGATTCTAATAAGACAATCTACTATTATTTCATTGAGATGGTGTATGAATATAAAATTGGATTATTTTTTCAATTGACTCTTGAATATTCGTTCAACTCCATCTGTTTGGAATTCAATATTATTGTATTCATTTTTTGCAGTGAACTCCATATTACTATTGAACGATTATTGATGTTCAATAGTTTGAAATTAAGTATAATTTTTCTGTTGAGATTTTGGAATTCAGTGCTATAATTACTCAAGTAGGGGGTAAACCTACCCTTGTTTCATGTGATGCGAGTAGGATTGCACTAGGAATCCCAAAAAATCACTCTCAAACAGTTTGAATGTATTTTTCCAACAATCATGAAAAATTGCGGCTAAAAGTTCGACTTTGTATAGATAAATATTCAAATTTTTGAGCAATAGCAGATCTGAGTCAATTTGAAATCAGTATATAGTAACTACTGCTCTGAGCAGAAACAGTACAGAGATAGAATCATTTCCATAAAGACTGATGTTTCAAAGGGAGAAGATTTCAAAAGTTAGTCTGAACAATTTGATAGATATGTCTATGTAGAAAGAAAAACTATATCAAGAATGTGTGCTATATTCTCTATCCCTATCTGATGAGATTTTATATCTTTGATATTCCTTTCTTTTGTTCTAGAAAGTAACAAATAATGAATGAGAATTGTATTCAACAAGTGGAAAATTCAGAAAATTTCCCTCGTAACCAACAGTCTATATTTCACATGTAGTAACCATGATATGAATACTTAATAATCTTTTTCTGTAACATCCAAAATATACATATCTCCATTTTTGTAGACAGCTCAGATTGTAGTAATTTATATAAATAATTGAGTCAGCTGGAAGTCGGCCAAAATTTGCCTATACCTGAGCTTTGTTATATCATCCATTAAATCCTGTTGACCATCAACTCATTACTTTGTTTTTCAGCTGCATTTGAGAAAACAATCCTCAAATTCAAGAACAACGACATTGTGTTCAACAATGCAGGAATAGTCGATGGGAAAAAATGGTGGCCGTTAATTTGGTAAATTGAATTAAACAATGCTTTCAACAACCTTGTAGAGATAAACAAAGTGATAAATTTAATTCTTTCTTCGTAGTAAAACTCTACTCCCAGTTTATTGGTGTAAATAAAAGAAATATAACGAATATCATGACTGTCTTGTGCTATAGGTTGAGGCTTAGTTGTTGCAAAGCAGGCAAAGATTTTGTGATGTTTAGATAATATTGCTTGGATATTAGAGGTTTGGATCTTTCTTTCATTTTATTCAGACCAGGAAAGTGTCCCTCTTATCCTGATATCTATCATGAAATTCTGAGAATTGAAAATGATCGCAGGGAACAAATAAATATTAAAAACTTGAGAAGAGTAAATTTGGTCATAATGTTGATATTTTCTCTAGTTTATATCTTGGTCTTTTGAACTTTGATTGGTCACCTGGGTCTTCGGTCTTTTGAACTTTAATTGATCACCTGGGTCATAATCAACTGCATTTCGAAGAAGCTGATTCTCATGAACCTCAGCTTTCTCGAAAGTCTTGATGTTTCGTTCTCTAATGATGATGGACACGATTGAAGGGAGTTTCAGATCCCTGGCGATCTAGTTATTCCGAACAAAGCAAGGAGATCCTGTCACCATTCTGGCGATTTTGTTTTGTAATGTTTGTTATCTGATGATATGAGATTTAGCTGTGTGGCCCCAGACTAACGAGGCATACAGTAAAATTGGCCTGATAGTCATGATGGGTATATTCAATTTTTGTCTCAAACCCAATTTACTTCGTCTGTTTAGAAATGGATACAGGGCTCCAATGGCTCGATTAGCTTTTGATACTTGCTGTTCAATGAGCTGGGCCCAGGTGAGCTTTTTGTCAATTATGGTATTTACCTTGTGAAGACTACTCTAACTCATGACCATCCAGGACTATTCTGGTTCTGGGAGGCCTCCGCTCTCTTCCGAGTGCGACCAATTGTGTTTTTGCAGGATTCAATTTGATCTTCCATCTTAGGAAGTACTCCTGAAGAGAATTCAGCGTGCTTTGGAGGTTCATAGCTGCTTGCTCGAAATTTGTCTAATATGCAAGAACTGCCGTATCATCAGCAAAAAGCGACATCTTGCACATCACTGGTCTCGGCAAATCGCTAGTATATAAACTGTACAACAGCGGAGATAAAATTGCACTCTGAGGAATACCAGCTTCAATGGGCTTGATACCAGATCGTTGATCATGAAATTTCACTTGAAAAGTTCGATTTTTCAGAAATGAACACTTCAACTGAATCAAATCGTCAGGAAAGTCCATATCGATCATTTTGTACAAGATACCATCATGCCACACCTTGTCAAATGCTTTCGCTATGGTAAGGAGAGCAAGATGGGTCTCTTGTATATTATTTCTCAATGATATTGTGTTCTCAATGAGTGTTTATATTTCAACTGAATAAAATGGGATATGAATGGAGGGTGATCCATTGAAGAATAGTTTTTTAAAAGTTTCCGACAGGGTTTTGATATCTGAATTAAAACGAAACACATCTCTTTGTGTTCAATATATTATCACTATCACATTCCTTGCAGAAGTATACGAATTATAATTTAATTTAGAAATTGTTGTATCTCATGGTTAGGTACTTCCTTCTAGTCGTCTTTCTTGGAGTCGAGTTCCTTTCTTGTTCTCACGCATACTAGAAAAAATAAAAAATCGTTATGCTCAGAAATAATATAGCAGTAATTCAAACTATATCTATATGCTGATTAGAATACATAATAAGTAATCATAATTGATAAATTGGGTTCTGAGGTAGTTCAAGTTGAATTCATCCCCTAGTCACCAGCTATCTACGCAAGAATTCAAATAACCATGATTCTGTTTCATGTAAAATAATCATTCGCTATGTTTTTAGTAGGTACAATAACATAATATATTATTGTTTGGAAGCATAAATATTCGAATTGACCACCAAACTAAGTTCTGATTGGTTCATGGCGGATTAACCAATAACGAATATATTGGTTGTTCGAATTCTTTCGCGAACAACTGCATCCTAAGAAAGTAACACACATCATAATGTTGAATACTCAAATGCTCTAGAATATCATAACATACCTCTTTTAGATTTTTCCCAACCGATATGAGCACCATTCTTCTCATTTTCCTTCACTAACCACTCTTGCAATGGCTTGAAATACTCTAATAGTCCACTGGCATCCATGTTTCTCTGTCCAGTCAAGGTTTCCATCGCATCTGGCCATGGTCTAGAGGCACCCATAGCCAGCATTTTCCTAAGAAATGGTTAATTGATATATCGCATGAAAAAATATTGTGAAAAGCATGTATTCGAAGAGGTAGAATTTGATCAAATTCCACTTTCCATGTTCTACACTATAGATGAAGCTGTAGCCGTAGATAAAGTGTAGTGTACCACTCAATAATTGAATGAAGCTACTATATATATGGAGTATATCAATTTATGATAAGTTTCTTACTTGAGAGCATTACCAGCTTCGGTATTTTGATAAATGTCACATTCATGTAGAGGCTTCGACGAATTATGTGGTTCGTACTGTCCAGCTTTTTCGCACAGAGCTCGATGGAATTGGAATTGTATCACGAAACTAATGAAGTACCTGTGAAAAACAATAGATATCGATTTTGGAACCCAACGAATCTCCTGGTGTCATCATGTACCCAAAACCTGTAGTCAAAAATGTTAACGCTGATCTAGCGATTGTGCATTAGTTTGTCATGAGTAATATCACGACACAAGTTTTTCTTGATTCGGAATACTTTTGAAATTTACGAAATTTGCACAGTTTCAGGTAACACCCTGTAGCGATTTTATGTGAAGAACCTTATGTTTTGAAGAATCACGGGATATTAGCTGAAGGACTGGTAGCGAACAGTGTGATCCGAATTCAAATCGTAAAGTTATTCATACTCAAACAGAGGCAACATTTTGAGGTGCGACGAAATTAGTATTGGCTATAGTTTAGATTCAGAATTGATAGACAGATAGTGTTTTCGAGATAACACAACTTGTTTCTGGCTTGTGATTGATCAGGTTATGTGATGAGTGAAAATAGGTCGCGTGCAAGAACTGTCAGATGACCGACCCTGGAGGCAAAACATATTTGTTTACAAGTGATCGAAATAGTTTTCCACAATTATTTTGGCATATGAATCGTATTTTTCCGCTATTCATCAATTCGCTAATGCCATCACATTGTGCTGTTGTAAAATGCACAAAAACTGCAGCGGAAGATGAAGAAATCCGGATGGTACATTATGATTCAAAAGTAAGTACCTACTATAGTCACTCACATAGTTTTCATTTTTGAAATTTGGTTATTTCTCTGATTTCCCATCGAAATTCCTTCTGCAATAGGATCAGCTAATAGAAATATACCTGAAATTTCTAGAATAATGCAGGAAGATTGGATTCATGCAATCAATCGGTAGGACTGGTCTGACATGCTGACGATCGTGTGTGTTGTAGACATTTTCAATCTATTAGCAGCATTAGCTTGTATTGCAGAAGTGGCAGAAGGCAGAAGGAAGAAGGAATTTTAATAAGGAATGACAACATTTCATAATGCTAACTATGTGAGATTACTATTTACCTGAAAAATCATATTCCCTAGTCTCTTGCTGCATTTTTTGTGCATTGTACAACAGCACAATGCGAAGGCATCATGCTTGAATTGATGAATAACGCAAGAAACACGATTCATATGCCAAAATATTGTGAAAAACTATTTCAACCTTCTGATTCCTCTGTAACCAAATAAAAAAGTGAGGTTGTGTTTCAATAATTCACAGAAGAATGAGGTTGTGTTTCAATATTTTGCCTCCAGGGTCGGTCTTCGTGCACGCGACCTATAGTAAGTGTAACAATTCTTTGGTATATCCTGGTATAATTATGAAATGAATAAAACCTCTTTGATTTTTCATTCAAGCTCTAATGCAAGATAAATGACACAATTAGATTACGTGACAAGTGATGAGTCATTATTGCAGTGGAATTGATACGATGTCTGATCTACAAAGTCGTGAAAAATATATTTTTAGCGACGATGTTCAAAACACCCCGTAATTGAGAAGAACGCCTGAAAGAATGCCTTATCACAAGCGGCATCGACGACTCATCGATATTCGTAATCATCGTGTGATCGAAGATTGAAGCAGGTTTAGTCATCAGCATCGTGGCATCAGAACGAATGACCTGTCGATGTTGTATTTTTATAAACGGTCATATTTGTACAAGCCGTCCTGAGTGAAAAAAAAAATGTTTTGAGTGTTGAAATTGTGACCATGATCATATCTTGTTCTCTGGTGTCTGTAAAATCTGGAAACCAATGATGATTTCTCATTTTCGATAGCATAATTTGATTTGATGGGCCAGAAGCATCCTAAAATTGTCAGTAACCGGGTGCAACTGATGAAACAGCACTGACCTATCTATCCCGAATATTTTATTCATGTAACTTATCACCTAATTATACTAGGTATACAGGGTGGCCCACGGTCGATGGTACCTTAGACGTATACGGAAAACGGTACATTGGATTATCCTAAAAATTTGGTTACTCCAATAAGCGTTTGTGATCTAACGATTCAAGATATTTTCAGCGAAGCAGCGTTGCCACTTTTACCAAAAAGTATCATCATCTTTGTTATTTCAGATGAAACACCCTGTATTTTATTGCGTTTTTAGATTCTTCTCGAAGAGTTGATTTCATCAATGCATCACACTTGGGGTCTAGCAGGAATTATTACAGAGATATAGGGTGTTCAAAATCGAGATTTTTCAACTTTAGGATTTTTGTGTGTCGAAACTATTCATTATTGGTCAAAACAGCTTACATGTCCCCATATTAACTTTTGATTAACTATCTACCGACATTTGATTGGAAAAAATACAGGATGGTCCAAGATTCAGAATTTTGATCACCCTGTATCTGTTCCAATTAAATGTCAGTAGATAGTGAATCAAGAGTTGAGATAGGGACATGCAATCCGTTTTGATCGATAATGAATAGTTTCGACACAAAAAATTCCTGAAATTGAAAAATCTCGATTTTGAACACCCTATATCTCTGTAATAATTCCTGCTACACCCCAAGTGATATGCATCGATGAAATCAGCTCTTCATGAAGAATCTAAAAACGCAATGAAATACAGGGTGTTCCATTTGAAATAACAAAGATGATGCTACTTTTTGGTAAAAGTGGCAACGCTGCTTCGCTGAAAATATTTTGAATCGTTAGATCACAAACGCTTATTAGAGTAACCAAATTTTCCGGATAATCCAATGTACCGTTTTCCGTATACGTCTAAGGTACCATCGACCGTGGGCCACCCTGTATAATAATGATTCAGTGGGTTCTCTCTATCAACAAAGTTTTCAAGAGATGATGTTGAGGTTCTCACCTTAGATAAGGAACGTCTGATATGATGTGATATTTCGCAGCTGGATCGAAATCGTCTTCTGATCTGTCCACTGGTGGTTCCACCCCTTGATATTTCTCTCTGAGTTCCCACCACCGGCAGTTGTAGTTATCAGGGGTGGTTTTACCAGAGAAAACGTCCCACCTCCACAGATCCATGAGATAACCAAATGGCAAGAAAGTGATCTTGTCTAAACCTACCTGAAATTAGAATGACGTGAGGGTGAGAGGGTGATTCTTGGAACCATTTCAAGAATTTCATATGAACGTATGTCGTAAAAGTCCTAACTTTTGAGATACAGAGTATCGAAGTTGAACATATACATAGATTCTTTTTTGTCCACCCTGTATAGCTTCTCCTGATGGCAAAATGTATTCTAAAATGTGACTGAAACGGAGCAAAAATTTCAGGATGGTACATACTGTGGTTATCCAGTAATGGATGCCCAAAATTTGAAGTTTGGTCCCATTTTTTCGTTTTTTCTCAAAAACGAAGCGTCCTATCGGGTTTCCACAAGAGGATATTTTTTGTAAGAAATTGGATGTTATTTTATAGCATTGCATTAAATTAGGCAATATCCCGTCGTTGTGCACTTTCAAGCATAATATAATCAATCATATCCCCCTAACGGCGCCACTGGCAGTGAAAAGGAAAATTTTTATACATCAAAACATGCACCTCAAGGTATAAAAGATATGCACCAAATTCCATGAAGATGTCTACAATGTTATCCCAGTTGATAGTAAAAAACTGTTTTTTTTTTCAAAACTTCATCACCCTATATCTCAAAAGTCACACGTTAGTGGGAAGTTTTTTTCTTGAAATGAGTTGAAGAATCACCCCCTTGAATATTAGCCTGTCTTTGAGGAACACCCTGTGGATTTACCAAACATTTCGGCATATTGAAGAATTATCCCAGATTCATTCTTTCACCCTGTAGTTATATAATTTACCAACCTTGTATAGATTATTGAGGACTATCTTCGGATTCTCGGTATCTGATTTTATAAGTCCAATCTTTTTCAAATGTTTGGTGGACTGTACAGAAAGAGAAATCAAATCACCCACAGCTTCATGGAAACCTAGAATGTTTACATATACAGGGTGATTGACTATCGAATTCATGATTTCAACTCTCAACACATCTCATGAACTGATGATTTATTTTATCTACTCATTTATTTATTATATCAAGTAAAATATACAGACTTCCATTGAAAATTAGTTTCATACAAGGTGTTCCAGAACAATGTACAATAAATTCTACAGAGTGAACTGGAGCCCAAATTAGGCCGATTGAAGTCGACTTACCTCTATACGAAAATGTATTGAATTGAATCAATATACACGGAGATAGGTATTTCGCATTCTCTCTGAAGAGAATTGATATAGCTTTTTTGGCTCGTTTTTTTGGCGTATGCCACTGACCACGTTTTGATATCTCAATGAATGACAGAATCAATTATCTAACTTTTTCCTGACTGCAGTTTATTTATCATTGTTCTTAGCTTTCGAGATATCTTACAAAATTAATTTTGGTGCTTCTCCATACCAAAATATCTATAAATATGGTCAGTTGCGTATCTATCTCCCTGTATATTCATTGAATTGATATGACATGCTTTTCATTAATTTTAGAGCAGTTCCTCTCGAGGATTTTGCAATAATCAGGAAAATGTATAAATGAAATTCTCCGTCATCGCCCTCTCACGGATGCATTTTCATTTATTTTGGTTTATCGTTCACCGTGTAGAATCAACAGTACTTTGTTCTGGAACACCTTGTATATATTTCAAATTGTATCTCATTCTCATAGGTAATAAGTGACCTCTGTGTGGAAGAGATGAATTATTACGTGTATAGAAATAATTTTTTCACTATGGAAATTCTCAAATTGAATATAAATAATCAAGATACTCTATTACATGTATGAAAATAATTTTCTCACTAGGGAAATACTCAAATTGAATACAAATAATCAAGACATAAAAAACAAGAATAAAATATGGTTGAAGAGTTGATTAAAAAAGATCTTCGATTTTGGTGCATTTTCTATAAACCTTTTTTTCTGAAAGTTTTGATATTCAGACTTTATTTTTGATGATAGTTATTGAAAATCCCAAGAGTTGATATTTCAACAGTAAGTATTCAAAATGGGTGGAGTGCGAAGTTATTTGCTCACCATCATTGGCTCCATCTCTGAATTTGATTGGTTGATCTTTGTATTGCAAGAAGTACTCGATATGTCCCATTTCATGATGCGCAACTATGAACTCTTCTAGTGTTATCTCTGTGCATTGTTTTATCCTGTTTACAAAAAAGAAAAAATGGTTCAACTATTTTTCAGTTTTTCAAGGGTTGCCATCTCTAAAATATGAAAACTAGGACAAGGCTAGTTATTTAAGAATCCGGGCGAATCCCGGACAGCGAGAATTCTGAAATCTCGAATAAGTTTTTTCAATTCCAAAAATATATTTTCACATACACATAAATTCAAATGTGAATGGTGAATATCACTATAGTATGATGTATATGGATAGGAATACCTACATATTTTCTTTTTGTTGCTTAGACCAAATTAAACCCCAAAAATATTTTTTGAACGAAAAATAAATTCTCAATCAACATCAGTTTGAAACAGAAATGAGTCACATGAATAGGACCAAATCTATAAATCTGCCCAAACTTTCACTGACATGATGGTAGTTTATGTCATTGGTGGGACCTGATAAAAATCCTGACAATTTTTCAAAATTGCCCGGAAATATCCGGACGCCCCTAAAACCCGGACATGTCCGGGGAAATCCGGGATATTGTCTGTTCATTGAAAAGACAAATGAAGATAAACTGTATCTCAGAGACATCTATACGTGAAGTCAGTAAACTAAGTTATTCATTTTTCATTCCTAACCAAAAAATTCTTCATGTTCCTGTCAAGTTTGTAAATAAAAATCTATCATGTTGAACATGAAAGAATCTCCTTTTTTATCGCCTTTGTATCGAATTTTACGTAAATAATAGAAATCACGTCTGTGGTTGGGTGCAGATTAGATGAAAAAAGAAGAAGAGAATGTCAACCTAATATTGTCTATTTTGACATAAACAAATGAGCTCTTTCCATATTCCCTTCCCTAGCGTCACTTGACAGGGAGACATATTATTTCGATTCACTGAACAGACAATATACAGGGTGAGTCATGAGGAACTGTACATACTCCTACCACGAATAGAGTCCTCTCGAGGGGAATACCGATTGTCCATCTCATGATTCACCCTATATATTGGTAAAGAAGAGAATAAGACACTTCGTCATTAGGTATTCCCCTCAAGGTCCTTATTCATGGTAGGAGTACAGTTTCTCATGACTCACCCTGTATTATACCTCCTCGCACTAGGTCGCCTACTAGGTATTGATTTAGATCGACGATCCCAACTAGCATTTATAGTCGTGATTACGTAATTACGACTATTGGGTCGACTATTAAGTAATATTTACTAGTTGCGGTTACGTTATAATTACGTCGTTACTACGTATTTACGACCAAAATGGGGAACAAATCACGAGTAATTATTACGGTTTGCCGACGTAGCGGGAACTCACACAATTACGTAATGCTTACGACCCGTCGACGTCGAAATTACGTAAAGATGTAGTAAATTTTCCTACCTGACTTTCTATTTCTTTTCCACTTCATAAAAATATTATTTTCTCTCTTTATTATTCTTCATTTCATCCATGAAGTTCACATTCACGAAAAATGAACAAGTCCAATATGCCTAACCATTCAATAAATAATACAAGGACAAACACGCGAAATAATTGATACTCGAACTTGAAAAATTCGAACAACATTCAGTTTTTCGATAAATGTGATGATTTTGCCTCGAAATTCAAGATGCGCCCACAAAATACGGCTCATTTCACCAAAAATATGGTTTTATTTCATTCGGCTATTTTTCAAAAAATCATCGTAAATCATGTTAATTTCCATTATTATGCAATTTGTGATCGAACGAATGCTATTATTCTTCATAAAATGATGTTTATCAACAAGAAAAACCAAAATTATTTCCTGTTCAAATGGTTATCACATCAATCAATATGGCTTCCAATCGAAAATGAATCAGAAAGTTACTTTTGGAACTCGTCAGTTATGATAACCTATGTATTGGTAACTTCAACTGAATATAATTACCGAAAAGTTGTTTCAACTATGAAGGAATTGTTTGAGTAGGAATTACCAATATGTTACTTGAAATATCACCAAGAATTGACTAAATTATTAGGTGATCGATCAAGTAACGACAACGTCGTAGAAACCTAATTGGTGACCATAGAGTAATTGCAACTGTGAAGCCTTCTTGGGGTGGTAAGCGTTACCGTAATAATATATCCAAAGTTCCGAAACCTTAAGAGTAGTTTTGAGGAGTGACAGTTTCGAAATAGTTACTTCGTAATAAGCCATGAGAATTTCTCACTTTGAAGTTATTATCTAGTGTAAAAACTACGTAATTTTCACTCACTAAATAACTATCACTGACATTTATACTATGACCCCAGTAGCACAGAATATCGGCTGCAAATCGGCTCTGCATTGGCCCAATATTTGAATATCGTAAATCGGTCGGATGATATTGTAACGATATTGAATAAATGAGCTGGACGGATCAATATGAATACAATGTTGATAGGCTTACATTTTTCAGGATGTTGAGAATCCTATATTGTATCGATATTCATAATGACATATGTGATGAAATCTATATTCCTCCTATATCCTGATGATTTATGTCTCGATATTGATAAATCTTCATGAAAGATATATTGATTGCCTGATATCAGTTCATATTACAACTGGATATGTAACCTATATCGATAGAATGTATCTTGGAGGATATTGCAATAAAACATCAGGTTCAATATCGTCACGTGGACTTCTTGATATCATATTTGTATTCCATATCGAATACAAAACTGCTATTCAATGATGACATCCCAATATTCCACCAATATTGTTTGTGTGGATATTGGTAAATTATATGTATACAATAAAGAGTTGTATTCTTATGACACCATCATCTGTTTGATAATGAAGCAATATTGGGAAATGGAGATGACCTCGATATTGCAAAGAATCATCACGTTGGATATCGTGAGGTCGATCAATTTATTCCATATATGTGTACCATATCACAAACTCTATATGGATTCAATGATCAAATCCCAATATCCCAGCGATATTGTTCTAGTGGATTTCATCAGGATGAGGTTGCAGCAATATTGAGAAATGCAGATGATTTAGATATTGCGAAATATCATTATGTTCAATATTGTGAAACCGACTTCCTGATTCCATATATTTGTACCATAACCAGATCCCAATATTTATTCGATGCTGTGATCACAATGTGCAAGCAATAATATCATCCATAAATAGGAATGAAGATAATTCGATATTGGAAATAACTATTAGGATCAATATCGTGAGGTTTACTTTTTGTTTCCATTCATGTTAACCATATCAAAAACCCAAGGTCAATTCAATGATGAAATCTCAATATTAGAGCAATATTACCTATGCATATTTCAGTAAACTTTATGTATACAATATTGTGTTCTGATCTCTCGCAACTATCATCAAGATGATGAAAGAGCAATATTGTTAAATGAATATGATCATCATATTGCAAATAATCATTGTGTTCAATATTGTGAATCCAACTTCCTGATTCTATATATTTGTACCATAATCAGATCCCAATACTATTTCGATGTTGTCATCACAATGTGCAAGCAATATTATCCATCTTGAGTTCAGTCAGTTATATTGATATAATATTGAGGTGTAATCACTTGATACTATCAACAGGATAATAAAGGGATAATATTGAGAAATGAAGATAATTCTATATTGCAAATAATCATTAGGTTCAATATCGTGAGTTCAACTTCTTGATTCCATTAATGTGTACCACATCAAAATCTCAGTGTAAATTCAATGATACAATCTCAATATCAGAGCAATATTTCTAATGCTTATTCCAGTCAACTTTATGTATACAATATTGTGCTGTGATCTCTTGAAACTATCATCAAGATGATAATAGAGCAATCTTTATAAATGAACATGAATTTCATATTGCAAATAATCATAGTGTTCAATATTGTGGAACCAACTTCCTGATTCCATATATTTGTACCATAATCAGATCCCAATATCAATTCGATGTTGTCATCACAATGTGCAAGCGATATTATCCATCTTGAGTTCAGTCAGTTATATTGATATAATATTGAGGCGTAATCTCTAGATACTATCAACATGATGATAATGGAGCAATATCGAGAAATGAAGATTAGTTCAATATTGCTAGCAAACATCAGGTTCAATATAGTGGAGTCACCTTCTAGATTTCATATATGTGTACCATATCAAACACCTAATATCAATTCAATGATGAATTCTCAATATTAGAGCTTTCTCGCGCACGTTCGAGTGTTACCGTGAACGACAAGACTAGTCACCACTGTTGCCATCTTGGTTTTGTCACTAAATCTAGTATTTTCAGTAGTAATACTATAATACTATAAGTACTTCAAAAGATTAGGGCTAAACATCGATAACTTTTGTTGCATATAATTACGAAGAGTATCAGTTTAACAGTTGAAATAATCCGATCACGATGCGAAAGGATTATTATGTTGAACGGACACGATTATTTTCAATTGTGCAGAAAGTTTAAGATGCATAATCTTGAAGATTTCAAAGTTCGAATTGTATTCGATGCGATTATTTTTTGCGTAGTTCTGAACGAACGTCTAAATTTGACCATACGCTTTGTTTGTATGTAACAATATGCATTGATTAGTAAATGGAAATGGAAATAATTCTAAAAAAATGGCTGCTCCAAGATGGCGGACAAGATTTGGTCCCATTCCATTCAAAATTGGTAAATGGGGGATTTTGAGGGCGACGATCATGATATTTTTGTTAAAATTTGTAAATTCAAGATGGCGGCTTCCAAATAAGTTTATGTTTTTGTATAAATGACGATGACTCCGTTGTTATCAACACAAAACTATAACTGCGACATGTCATCTGTAAGAGGAAAAAAAGTTATTTGTAACTAAGTCATAGTGAGCTATGAGCTTCATTTGAACAACTAAAGTTGGTGCTGATATCTCAAATTCTAGAAGAGTTATCATATTTTTTTCGAATTCACTTCGAAAAACTCCCATGAGAATGTGAAATTCCTATCTGAATATTTTCATGAATAAAGAAGTTACGGAGGAGACATGAAAATGA